TGTTTATATTCAAAATGATCATCAAATTGTAAGAATTCTAGCAATGTAAATTATATTCTGACCGGATAATTTGTATGAATTTTATGAGCTAAATAAAAAAATTATACTTCACCCGTGTAAAGGGGTACACCCACCGCGGAATGTGGGACCGCGTAAAGTGGGGGTTGACTGTATATATATATAATATATATATATATATATATATATATATATATATATATATATATATATATATATATATATATATATATATATATATATATATATATATATATATATATATATATATATATACAGTCAACCCTCACTTTACGCAGTTAATGTAACCCACAGGGTACCGCGGAAAGTGAGAAACGCGTAAAGTGAATAACATAACATATGGGATTAAATGAAATAGAGACCAGCTGACCCCCAAACTCCACTTTTTCCAACACAATACCTGTGTTCTAGTAAAAATAACATCTTAATTTTATGATGGTACATGCACACAATTAATACTTAAGAGAAATAGAGAAATACAGTCGCCAAGTTAATGTCCATTCAAATAATGGACTCAACTCCCTCCCCCTCTTCTCACACTACACTCGCTGGCTCTTCCCTCTCTGAGAAATTTTGGGGGAAAACCAGGTATAGTAATAAATAATACCTCAAACTAAAGTTAGGATAATATAATTGACATTGCTGGATTCCTTGTAAGACCAGGAATATTTTGAATACAAATGTCATATATTTTGCACAAAAGATAACATATTTACTCAGAGTAAACATTATATCTAAAATTTGTATGTCTAATGCAAAATCTATGATGTTTATATTCAAAATGATCATCAAATTGTAAGAATTCCAGCAATGTAAATTATATTCTGGCCGGGTAATTTGTATGAATTTTATGAGCTAAAACAAATATCTTCAGTTAATAAAAAAAAAAAAATTCTTCAGGACACTATCTGTCAATCAAAGTACCCCACCTTGCCTCCCCCCTCTTCCAACCGGGCCAGATGGTCGGTCCGTCCCAACCCTCCCCCCCACCCCCCACCAATCCTCCCTTCAAGAGAAAGGTTGGGTGAAAAAACTAGATTTTAACATTTAGTATTAAATAATACCTCAGATTAAAGTTAGGATAATATAATTGACATTGCTGGATTCCTTGTAAAACCAGGAATATTTTGAATATAAATGTCATATATTTTGCACAAAAGATAACATATTTACTCAGAGTAAACATTATATCTAAAATTTGTATGTCTAATGCAAAATATATGATGTTTATATTCAAAATGATCATCAAATTGTAAGAATTCCAGCAATGTAAATTATATTCTGGCCGGGTAATTTGTATGAATTTTATGAGCTAAAACAAATATCTTCAGTTAATAAAAAAAAAAATATTCTTCACACCATGGTGCCAGGTGGTCGGTCGCCGGTCCCTCCCTCCCTCCCACCCCCCACCAACCCTCCCTACCAGATGAATGTGTGGGAATACCAGACTGTTTACCTTTTTAGTAATAAATAATAAATCAGACTAAAGTTAGGATAATATAATTGACATTGCTGGATTCCTTGTAAGACCAGGAATATTTTGAATATAAATGTCATATATTTTGCACAAAAGATAACATATTTACTCAGAGTAAACATTATATCTAAAATTTGTATGTCTAATGCAAAATCTATGATGTTTATATTCAAAATGATCATCAAATTGTAAGAATTCCAGCAATGTAAATTATATTCTGGCCGGATAATTTGTATGAATTTTATGAGCTAAATAAAAAAATTATACTTCACCCGTGTAAAGGGGTACACCCACCGCGGAATGTGAGCATCCTGGGTTCTGGCAGGGCACCGTGTAAACGTGGAAACGCGGAATGTGGGACCGCGTAAAGTGAGGGTTGACTGTATATATATATATATATATATATATATATATATATATATATATATATATATATATATATATATATATATATATATATATATATATATATATATATATATATACACAATATATATATATATATATATATATATATATATATATATATATATTATATATATTATATATATTATATATATTATATATATACCAGACCGTATAAAATAATTGCCCCAAACACATTATCTGAGAGACATAAACAAAATAAAAATTACTCGATTTCCTCACCGTGCTAAGATGTATAAATATCAAATATAAAATCCTTGTGACACTTAATATTTCAGCTATTACAACACAAATTAGCGGAGCTTTCTTTGTGTGTTTATACAGCTGATTCGCCAGGCAAGAAGATTACGCTAGCAATGCGTGTGGTGAAGGATGCAGGAGGGGGTTTTGAGAATTGCAATTAAATGACAGGTAGCGACGTGTCCTCCTAATATTACTTATTAAGTAATTATTAGATGTTTTAATTGCCTGTATGTTGGCCTGGCGAGTTATTGCTAGGCATTAACATGTCTAGGTATAAAGCTAGAAGTCAAATTCTGGATTGAACAAAAGAAGAAGTTTTTTTTACATTTGTAGTCCAGACCCCTAGGACCCCCCTGGATCTGCCCATGGAGTCAGGTGCAGTTTTTCTAGTGGGTGGGGCAGCCTGTAAGCCCTCTTTTCTGTGAGGAGTCTTTGGCTGAAGTTAAACTTATTTTGATAAAATACTGCATGAGAGTGGGAATTTAACTTCTTGGATGTCAGCAACTTGGTAACCTGCCCAAGAGGATTTTGGTTTCATGTCACCCAAGAGATGCTGAATCATCACGTTAATAATGTACAGTATTTTGATACTCAATGCAATACTACAAACACCACAGAGATGCATGGATTGTTACATGGAGTTAGGGAGTTTAGTTTCATTGTTACCTAGTAAATAAAACTACATTCAGGTTAAATCCTTTCATCGGTTGCTTGCCACTTTAACACTTGGAGCACTTGCAACCACTGCCTCCCAATTTTGGCTGAACCTAGAAAAGGCACATTCACTTCACTTACCATGAAAATCAATGAGAACTTGACACTTGACAACACCATTGTGGTTGAAACAAGGGAAGAGCAAGTTATACGAGGTCTGTCCAAAAAGAAACGAATTTTTTAAATACCGCACCAACGAGTTGGCGCAGTGTGCTCATGACAGGAGCACTGTGTAGCGGTGACCTTGACCTTTAGTTTAACACTAGCCGCATCATGCCAAGTCAATTAGTCATCAAGCTACACCTGCTAGAGTGAACGTGTGTTTAGTGCACTTGGCAATTTGTTGCAAGTTGAACAATGAAGGATCTTGAAGAGCAACGTGTTTGCGTAAAATTCTGTTACAAATTGGGAACAAATTTTAAGGAGACTTTTCAAATGTTGCAACAGGCTTATGGAGAGGATTGTTTGAGCCGTATGCAATGTCACATGTGGTACCAGCGTTTCAAAAGGGGAAGAACATCCACCGAAGACGATCCCAAATCTGGACGTCGGAGTCGCTCAAATGTGGAGGTGATGTTGATCGTCTTTTTTGTTTGGAAGGGCTTCGTTCATCATGAGTTTGTTCCACGTGGTCAGACAGTCAATAAAGAGTTTTACTTGGAGGTCCTGAAGCGTTTGAGGGAGGCAGTGCGAAGGAAGACGCCTGAGGCATGGACAAACAAGACCTGGATGCTGCACCATGACAATGCATCTGCTCACACGTCACTCCGTATCCATGACTTTTTGGCGAAGCATGAGACGACTATCGTTCCCCAGCCGCCCAACTCTCCGGATTTGGCCCCTGCGGACTCTTTTTTTTGTTCCCAAATTGAAATCCACCCTAAAAGGTTGCCGAATTCAAACGATAGAAGAGATAGAAGAAAATTTGCTACGAGACCTGCACACCATCCCTCAAAACGCGTTCCAGGACGTGTTCCAGAACTGGAAAAAAACGTTGGGAGTGGTGTATCAACAGTGGAGGGGAGTACTTTGAAGGAGACAAGTCTGATAAAGTTGTAAGTAAAGCAATAAATTTGTTTTTTAAAAGTTTGGTTTCTTTTTGGACAGACCTCGTATGTCTTCTAACATGGGTTTCTCTCTCTCTACTCACTGTTTCCTATTTAAATGTTGAATGCTTTCCTCTAAAGATCCCTTTTGGTAGCTAATTTAGGAATTATATGTAAACTTAAATTCATAAGTTGCCTACCCGGGTAGATCCTGGCTCAGCCATAAAATGGGGTTTCAAGATCAACCCTTTTTTTTCTCACATTTTCTATACTGTCAGGTGCTGTCAGTTTATAAAAAAAATCTTGGATAGAAAGTATGTGTATGCAATATTCTACATTCCCTTGAAGAAGTTTCTAAGCCAATATTGACAGTACTGTATTACATGGCCATGTGCATGTAATTTAACAAATTACATTTGAGGCTTCAGGATTAAATACAGGCTGACTCTCTTAATGTAGGATTTTTTTCTTCTCAAGTGCTCTCCAGTCTTAAACTTTATTATGGTTGTGACTATACAGTACTGTACAGTAGTTCAAAAGGTTGCAGAATGTAACCAAATGCAGCTTTCCTCACCATGAGTCATTTGTCCAGTCACTGACATTGAGTAGGTACTGTATTGAGGCTAATAGACTTTCAATTATTTGTTTTGTTTCTAGTAATCACAAAGAGTTAATATATTACTAATTTATAAGGCAGAAATATATGTTGTGTATACTGTACATGTATAAATTATTTAAAATAATCCCTTATGTGCAGCCTGTCTTAATTCAGCCTGCATTGGGTAATATGTTATTATAAATTTTCTGTTGTTTAAAATTGCATGCTATTGTATTAAGCTCATTACAGGAATTAGGTTTAACATCTCACAAGGATCATGTTTACAGATCTTAGTGAATCATCAAGGAGGATTTTATCAATTTGTATTTTTTTTCACATAGCATCTTATTCTTCCAGATCACCTTATTTCTTTACTGATTTATTTTTACAGAGAGTTGCAAGATTTTTTGTCATTTATATCTTGGCAGGTAATTTGAATGTGCTTATTACTTTGCAGTCGACTAAAAGAGGCTGTGAAACGAAGATCAAGCATGCAAACAATACCACAAGACCAGCGTCCTGGCATTCACAGAGAACTCAATCATGCAGCCTTCCAAGCCATTAGTATAGAACAGGTATTATGAACATGACTTATCTTTAAACTTTTATATGCATGTACAGTAGATCCTCACTATTCGCTGGGATTAGGTTCCATGAACCCCCACAAATAGACAAAATCCGCCAATAGTATTAGCAGCCACAGTAATGTATGTTTGAGTTACTTGAGTCACCCATAGAGATATCCCTGTAGTACAGTATTATATTTCAATAAGTTCTCTTTAAGTCATAGGTGTACCAAAGAGATCATGAATTATTTCAAATAAAACATTTTTAACAATAAAAAAAGAAAAAAGCAATTGAACGGTAAGCTCATCATGAATGAACAGAAACTTATTAATTATCCCGTATTGTATATTTAGTTCAAAGTTTCCCTACCCCTTGGCAAATTTCTGGGTATGCCACTGCTTTACATACATTTACAAAAGTGAAAAGCATTAATAAAACTATGAAATACAGTATTACCCCGCCTAACGCGTTTTATCATATACGCGGTGCCTCGCCAGAGCTGAACTTTCACTTAACGCGGAATTTTTCATCATATACGCGGGAAGCGGCGCGGGCACGATGCGCACAAGGTCGGCCAGTCATCAAAACATTACCGAGTTCTTCACCCGCCACCCACCACAGCCGGCCCAAGTCAGTGATAGTGATAATTATAGTGAGGATATGGACTTATATGGCCTTTGAGGGGTTTGACAAAGAGGCCCTGCAAGCCTCTGTGGTGGATAGTGATACAATTGATACAAGTGATACAGGTGAGGGCCAATAATCTGCCCTCTGCCTCGGAACCAACCCCCCATCCCCGTGTGCCCAGCCATCTTTTCTACTAATGCAAGTGTTAAAAAACCTAATATTATTGATATTTCTCTTAATTATTAATTGTGTGTGCATACCATCATAAAGTTAAGATAAAATTTTTACTACAACATAGTTGTGTGTCGTCAAAAGTGGAGTTTGGGGGTCGGGCCAGTCTCTATTGGAATTAATCCCATATGTTCTGTTGTTCACTTAACGCGGTACCCTGTGGGTTCAATTGACCGCGTTAAGCGGGGTACTACTGTATACTTACTTACAACAATATACAATATGGTATATACTATACTATACTATATATTGTAGGTGTATTGAACCAGTTTGTACATTATGTTTGAGATACGTAAGTCACCTATAAACACAATCATATACAGAGGGGCCCCCAAGCTCGGGGATTTTTATTTCACGGTCCTCTATTATTCACGGATGTACCCAAGAATGTCTGTGGGTAGTTTTAAAGTTGCTGGCATTTTCGCTGCTGGGACAGGGAGCCATTCGTTCTAGAGACAGTAATTTCCTTTACCTGTATTGTAAATATGTGTGTGTGTGTGTGTGTAGACACACACACACACACACACACACAAAACACTGACAAATAAATAATAATTGGAAAATACTCTCACAAATAATCAGAAACAAATTTATTAAAACTAACAGTCTACCCTCAAGTCTGTGCTTTATTACTTTATTAATAAAGCATGAACTTGAGGGTAGACTCACATTTTTAATAAATTTGTTTCTGGTTATTTATGAGAGTATTTTTCCATTATTATTTATTTGTATGTATGTGTGTGTGTGTGTGTGTGTGTGTCTACACACACACACACACACACATATATACAATACAGGTAAAAGAAATAATTGTCCTAAGGGCAAACACATAAAGGGAATATACATTTCTTTGTCCACAAGTAAAAATGTACCCCCCCCCCCTCCTCCGGTCAGTAAATGTTATTCGCGGATTTGGCGATCCGCGGCCATTTTGAGAACCTAACCCTTGCGAATTTGGGGGCCCCCTATACAGTAAGTCCTTGCATAACGTCGGGGTTACGTTCCTAAAAATGCGACGTTGTATGAAACAACGTTAAGCGGATCAAATTTCCCCATAAGGAATATATAAAATACGGGAATTATGTTCCTGAGCCTCCCTTTGCCCCATGAAATACATTACATATACAGAAAATCATTGCCATTTCTATAGAAAATAGTGCGGTGGTGGTAGAGCAAGTGTGTGGTGGGTAGTGGAGCAGAGGAGGAGGATGGCGGGAGTGGAGGAGTATGGCGGGAGCTGAGGAGGAGGGTGGGAGCTGAGGAGGAGGGTGGGAGCGGAGGAGGGGGGTGGGAGCGGAGTAGGGGGGTGGTGAGCCACTGAGACTGTCACGAGCCAAGAGAGCGTAGCGCGGCCAGACAAGAGCGGGTGATGCGACGAAGAAAGTAGTCCGTGATGACGCAAAACGACATAGTATCGGATCACAGGGGATGTTAAATGAATTTTTGGTCTCTAAAGCTTAGCGACGTAGTACCGAAATAACGTTAAGCAGGACGACGTTAAGCACGGACTTACTGTATGTTATTTCATTGTGGTTTCTTAAATACATGTACAAGAGGGAGTATAATAATAATAATTATAATAAACAATACAAAAAAGTAAATAAAATGATAATGGTAATAAAGAACCCCCCCAAAAAAAGATCAATAGTGAGAAACAATATATGTATGTTGTGTTGTCAATGTAAGAGAGACAATTGAGACCCTGAAATTGTGTGTAAATGAGGCAGAAAGTCAGATGAGCAACCTGGGACAAATTGTGTGTAAATGAGGCAGAAAGTCGGATTAGCAACCTGGGACAAATTGTGTGTAAATGAGGCAGAAAGTCAGATCAGCAACCTGGGACAAATTGTGTGTAAATGAGGCAGAAAGTCAGATCAGCAACCTGGGACTTGGTCACAATTTTTGTGATGCCATATGGCAGTAGGGTCTACCATTAGACAACACATTATGCTTCCAATATCTTCCCAGGCGATAGTACCTCCCTGTTTGATAGCTGCCTACTACCTGGTCGGGATGTTTTAAAAGCATAACCGTGATTGACAAACTGGTCCACGCAAAGACTTACTCTACAGTATTTACATTTGAATTTTAATACCCCTACAACATCACAAAATAGTTTTGGGTATGGATGATTTGAATACTGCAAGTCGGTTACAAGATTGCCAAATGTGCAATGTACTAAGTGTTTTGAGTATCCACCCCTTGGCTTACCCTTGACATTTACAGGGTACTCGGAAAAATGGCACAGGAAAATGGCACAATTTTCATACTAGGAAAATATGGCACAAAAAATTTCACTTCGAGCTCGCGAGCCACAAACGAGCTTGTTAGCATGAGCTAAGGCCCTTTCGAACTACTGTACAAACGAGCTAATAAGCAATGGTGTGCATACAGTAGGCTAGGTTAGATTAGGTTATAAAATTTTAGCAAAAACATGTCAACAAAAATTAATGTTCCATGTTTTCCTAGTCTGATGATTATGCCCTTTTTTCCGGTGCCATATTTTCCAAGTCTGATAATTGCCTTTTTTTCCGGTGCCATATTTTCCTATTGCCATTTTTTCCTGTGCCGTTTTCTCCTGTGTAATTTTTTCCTACATCCATTTACAGTTAGTACTATTAAGTGATTACCTAGTAATTCTTTCCCGTTGTTGCTGTTCTTTCTATAAAGTGAGATTAAAAGCAACACTTGCCACTGAAGGCTGATGATAGTTTTCCCGTGCACTCGCACAACCTTACCTTCTTGTGTTTTGATATCAGCCATATTAGATTTCTATTGCCACGCATTATTCTAGCTATCTCCGTGGTTGATAACATAAATTAGCCTAACAGTGCACGACTCCTAAAATGTTTGCTGTTTGGGGACTGTTGTGTCTATCAGCTGTTTTCTCAGTTGTTTGGGAGCTAGGTGAACATGTTCAGGAGCTAGCTTCCACACATGAACGTGTTTATTAAACGTGATTCCGAATGACTGAGAAAATGGGCTATGTCACAGAAATCCTATATTATTAGTATGCAGGTACTCTATTATCAAATTTGAGACCGTTTGTTTTGGGTTGCAAGAGTTTTTTCTTTGTTGAACTAATGATCTAATTGCCAGTTCAGCTTGTGTCTGGGAGAGCACCCAGTTTATGAAATAAGTAATTCTACTTATCCTTGGGTTTGGGAATTTGTCTGGAATTCCCTCTACTGAATAATGGATTTCAATATGGTATGCACTATTCATTACTAATTTAATGCTTTTCTGTACATCACATGGGTGTGTGGGGAAAAGTCCTCTGGGGAATCTTTGTTTAGCTGGGTGGAGTTGGATTGTTTAATAAGATAAACAAACTTTAAAACACTAAGGGCTCACTTTAAGTCCTTTACCCAAGCAGGCAACCCCTGAGGGAAAATTAGATATGATATGTCTATAAACAGACTTTTCAAAGTTCTATTATCTAGATCTCATTAATTAAGTAGCAGATTGGAAGTGTTTGATGTTTCATTTAGTTTGGAGTTGAGAGGATGGTAAAAATCCATGATTGGTAAAATAATTTAGTTTTGCCTTTGATTCTTCTCACAGTGAAACACTCCTCCCCTGAGTCTTGCAATTCTTCTTAAGAATTTGACTTGAGGGTTAGCTTTGAGTCATTTCTCTTAGGCTGCAGAGAGGTAGTACTTAATAAAAAAAAAGTTAGATTCTTTTTCCTTATTGTAAGGTTAACAGTTATAGTCTTGTTTGGGCTGTCAGAACAGTTCTTCAGCTTAATCATAGAATCAGTCATTCAGGCTGTGTTTACTTGGTTAAGCTCTTGGGGGGAGGGGCATCATGGTAAAAAACATTTTTTGAGAAAATGCCCCTGCTGTCCATTCATGCTAAGGTGATTTAGTTTTAGTCATGTGTTCTTTGAAGGAGAATAATACAGAGAAACTGTATGAGTAATAGTGAGTGTGAGATTTGTATTTACTGCCTTACAATAGTTTTTTAGTTAATTTCCCATCTTGAGTGTGTCACAGTATTACTAACAATTAGAGAAATCTTACTGTCTTGCTGATTGAGGAGACAAGTTACTGCATCATTTAAATCTCACCTGTTTACTCACTGATGATGATGATGCCAGTTGCATTATCCAAAGTCTGGTTTGGAGTTTTTGTTTTTACAAAGCTGCAGTTTGAACAACAATGAGTTCTTTATGAATAATTGGTGGTTATGCACAATGTAAGGTTTTGTGGCTGTGCCCGATACGAGCCAGCACAAGGTCATTGACCAGTAAGAGGGTTAAAGATCGATTTTTCCTGCCTCTTTTTTTTTTTTTTTTCCCCCTCTCTTTCTCTCTCTCTAGCTGGCTTCAGTTACATGAGTTTCCTTGGACCAACATTAATATTCATTCTGTAACTACCTATGTCAAGGCAAGGGGACTTGGATGCCCTCCTTCCTCCTAATGGATATATTGTACACTGTATCTTGAAAATTGGCTAGACTGATGCATATTACTGGATATCCAATATGGCTCAAAGGAATACTGTATATGTCCTGATATACAGCGTAACTTTGATTATTCTTGATTATTATGGAACTCCCCCTTACCACCAGGACAAACTAATAACTATTAAAAACAAGTTGGTGAGGTTTATCTTGGATATGAAAATATCATATAGGTTATCAAGTTCTGCAAACATTGAACTGTACAGTATATATATTAAATGTGGCAGATAGAGTGAAACAGTTAAAGTTAAATCTTAGTTTCAAAATTTATATTAATTTAAGTTAAAATTAATTTGTCTCAAACTTTGTAAGAATAGGGATCTGGTTCAGCTAGGCACCAGGGGCAATTAATTTTTTTTTTTTTATAGCAAAAAATCACTTTCTTCTTTGCGGCAATATTGGACTTGCCATTAAACTAAATGATCTCCCTGAAGTGCATATAAAGGAAATTAAGTGGTGGTGAAAAAAATATTAAAATATTAACCCTTTGAGTGGTTGGAGTTTCTCTCCCCTTAATAAAATCATCAAATGTTACCAGAATAAAATACCTAAGTGCGACACTATTCTATGAATTAATACTGTATATGGTGATTATCCATACCTTAGATTGTCGTTTATTAATTATTCTTGTATAAAGAAGTATATTAATGTCAGTTGTATTAGGATTTATACTTTGAATGGATGTTTCAAATATTTAAAAACCAAGTGAAAATAAATAAGTATTAACATAGATACATGTATATTTATTTTTAGTGGGATGACAGAGGTAGTGAACAAAGCAGCTGTGATCGTAGTCCCCGCCAAACCCCAGCTTGGGTGCCAATACAGACTGTGGTACACCTCAGTAAACTGGTGAGCGGTACAGTGCTCCGTGTCCTGATACACTTCCTTTACACTGGCACCATATTTTGCCGTGAGTGTCATCTACCCTCCACTGATCTGAGTGAACTTAAGCAGGCAGCTGAGTTCTTAGAACTGCCAGAACTTCAAATGTACGTCACAAATCTCATGAAAAAAGAGGATTTTTTGAACAATGATCTGTCACAGCAGTACTTACAGGTGAGTTTATCTCTCTTTATACATAGAAATAGTGTTCATAAAAGTTATTTTCTGAAATAAAGGAAGTTTGTTTTATATCCTGTAAAGTTGTATATCTGTTAATTTAGATATACTAAATGCATCAGCCTCATCTAAATGCAGTCAGGTCTAATGGTATATTGACGGGAAGAGAAGTATGCATTTATAGTAGTATGCCACTTTATCACTAATTATTGCATAGGATGGTAGAGAACAAAGATAGCCAGACTTACTTAACCTAAGAGCTGCATACAATTATCTTCAGATGTTTGAGACCCACAAGGCTTGAAGAAACTTTATTCATGTTTTTATTATTGTAAACTCTCGATAAGTCGGCACATATGGGGCTCTGGCCTTGCCAAATTATCCCAAATTCTGACTTATTGATCCCCCTCCTCCCGTACAAAAATACAACAATAAAAAATTATCGACCCATATATGTATGTACAGTCACAATCCAAAGTTTCGACACCCCCCTGGCTGGGTGTTCGCCAAGGCCAGGGTTGAGGTAAGGCTGGGTGATCGGATGCAGACCAGTTCAGCAATGTGGTAACGAGGCACTACGATGGTGAGGTTCACATTCCACCACCACAACACTCCGAGACTCATAGCACACGAGCACAGGAAGGAACTTATTACGAACTTTGACATGGCATGAACTTGCATAACAAATGCATTCATAACATTGTTGCCACACAAAACAACAACATGTTAAGATTGGAGCATGAAAAACTTTGCCCGGTCCCAAAGCACTGGCTTGGAACCACTAGATGCGAGTCCTCGTATTACACATGAATATAAAGGGTGGCCGGCTGCCGAATTTCGTCAAGAGGGAGTGAGCGGTCAGTTGACAAGGTGAGGCCTATACATGTACGTATTGATATTACCATAGCCCTGGGAATATTATGGTTTCACACATTCTAGGAATTCATATACAGTACAGGTTGTACCTCTCTAGTCCGGCATTCTGTGGTCCGGAAACTCCCGTGGTCCGGAACGATTTTAGTTTGTCCAATAGGTAGATAGGCAGCTTTTTTTCTTTTCTTTTTTTTTACTTATCTGAATTATTATTATTATTACAGGATCATTAAATTTTTGCCCCTCAGGCCCTAATGTGGGTCAGTGACCTATTCCCGGGTGGGCTAATCCCCTTAATAAAAATAAAAAGTCGCAGGAAATTAAGGTTTGTTTACATCCGGCAGTTCGGCTGCTCTCTCTCTCTCTCTCTCTCTGCTAGTCTATACAGAGTACAACATTTAACCCTTCAATATATATGAGCAGTAAATAAGTATTGCTTTCATATTCTTATGTAGAGTAATGACGATATATTTTCACATGTGCGCACTTACATACGAGCAGTCTCACTTTTTTTTTACCATTAATGGTTAGCTACTTATATTGTTCCATTTATTAACATTAAATAACATTACAGGTACTTCAAGCAACCATATTCATTTTTTACATTAATTTTACTACAGCTAAACTCAGGGTCTTATTTTCTTCAGTTTTATATGTAGAACCAATCAGTCACTGGTTTCGTAAGCTTTAACATAAACAATGCCGGCAGCGGTCTCGTCTCCTCTAATATTCCACGTATTATTAATAAATTGTATTGTTAATTTTGCACACACGTACATTAATTCAATAAAAACAAATTCAGAAACATTAATTAAAATATATATGAACAGTAAATAAGTGTTGCTTTCATATTCTTATGTAAAGTAATGACGATATGTTTTCACGTGTGCGCATGCGCACTTACATATGCGATCTCTCTTTTTCTTTACCATTATTGTTAGCTACTTCTATTGTTCCATTTATTAACATTAAATAACATTACTTAAAACAACCATATTAATTTTACTACAGCTACAACCAAGGTTTTATTTTCTTCAGTTTTATATGTAGAACCAGTCAGTCACTGGTTTTGTAATCAACGAAAACAATGCTGTGTCATTTCCTCATGTGTTTTCATTTTCTACGTATTATTAATGAATTGTATTGCTCATTTTGCACACATAAACATTAATTCAATAAAAAAGACATTCAGTAATAAACAATAATGAATCTTTTGTACATAAGAGAAATGACGCTGTTTACACGATTATGCACGTCGTCTGCACGTTGGCGGGCCGTTCAAACCCGTCGAAATTCAAGTTTCCGCGTCAAAATTTTTATTTATTTATTTTTTTGTGTGTTCCAATAAAATACGTTAAGGACATAAATAAACAAATAAATACTTCACTAGACCTTCAGTGCAAACTGTCAAACATGTCACTTTTTTTTTTTTTTGTAGGGAAAGGAGGAATGAAGGAAGATTAGAGGTGGGGGAAGGAAGTTATAGTTCGGAAATTGAAGAAATTCAGGAGGAGGTAAGAGATGGCGGGCTGACCGCCTAGCTAAGCTAATAGTGTGTTAGGGTTGTGTCATGGGTTAGTTATTGTCTGCCGGTACAGGCACTAGACAGCCTACCCTGTCCCATTTATGGGTGATTTAAGGGCCTTATTTCATATTCTGCCAACCCTACTGGCGGATGCTGGTCTAGGGAGGTTGTCTATTGCCTGGCCGTGTAGATCGGGGGTGGTAATGGACCTTTTGAGATTTCGTAGCTTTTTGGGAACCGTGTATGGTTGTTGTCGTTATCTGGTGGGAGTCTCTGAAGGAGTTCTTGCTCTGATCGTTCTATCTTTTGCCAGATTCTGCTTGCCAGGGTGTGCAGCTGCTGGTTGATGGGTTTCATTCTCAGGTCTCTATGTATCTCGGCTGTGGTTCTGGTGAAGGGGTATCTTTCACCTGTGACGAATCTTAGGGCTTCATTTTGGACCACCTGTAATTTTAATATTTGAGTGGTGCTCATAGTATGAAGAGGTATTGCTGGGTAAGTTAATATCGTTGTGATAAATGATGTCACCAGGCGGAGTTTAATTTTCTCAGGAAGCGCTTTAAAGCGGTATAGTTTTCTCAGCTCTCTTCTTGCTTTTTCCTTCCTGCTGTGGACATGATGGGAGTAACCTGTCGTGGATATATGTAGGCCCAGGAGGGTGCCTCTGCTTTTGTATTCTATCTGGGCATTATTGGTTACTAATGGATGGGTTTTCCTTCTGCATAAGGGTATCACTGTGAATTTCGGGAGACTGGTTTGGATTTTCCATTGTTTTTCGTAGTTATTTACCCTTTCTAATTCCCGCCTGGTGTTTTCGGCCTGTAACGCTCGCGATTTTCCTTGATGTGTTGTTATTTGAGTGATGTCGTCTGCATACATATTATCTTCATTACCTATTCTAGTGGGAGGCGGGGTGTCACTTGTGTAGATAATATATAGGGTGGGGGAGAGGACGCTTCCCTGAGGGACTCCACTCATGAGTGGGAAGGTCTCTCCTGTGTGTTGTCCTACCCTCAGTCAAGCGTTTCTGCCGTCAAGAAAGTTGCAAAGCAACTTTTCAATGTTGGTGGGAAGTCCGAGTTGGAGGATCTTATATTTTAGACCGTCGTGCCAGACTTTGTCAAATGCCTTTGCTACATCCCGGAGAGTTAGATTACATTGTCTACCACTCGCCGAGGCTCTGGCTATGTTTTCGCATGCCAGGGCTATCGCTGTTGTGGTGGACTTCCCTTTCCTGAACCCGAATTGTCTGCAGTTGACTCTGTTTGTTGTTTCCAGGTGATTTCTCAGACGGTTATTGATGATTTTTCTAGGATTTTTCCAGGTACTTCGAGGAGGGAGATCGGTCTGTAGTTTAGTGGGACGGCGGGGTTCTTTCCTTGTTTTGGCGTTAGGGTAATAATGGCCTCTTTGAATTTAGTTGGGAAGTAGCCCGAGGCCAGGCAAGCGTTCATTGTGGTTCTCAGTCTCTCCATGGCCGGGTTGTCTATGTGGCTGAGGATCTCCTTGGTGATGCCTGAATAACCAGGGGCTTTATTTTTGGTATTGGAGATGGCTCTGTTGAGTTCTTCCGAGGTGATTGGTTTGGACAATGGGCTGTCCACTCTCAGATCCTCCCATATGATTTCAGGGAAAGGCTGAGTGCGGTGTGTCTGGCCCCGGAGTTCATCAAGGACGAGCTCCTCGTGGGTACCATCGAATCCCCTATTCTCTTCATTTGTGATTCGGAAGATGTTCCTCCATATGTCCCTGAATATGGGTTCTTTGTCTTGGTCGTCATATATTTTACTTCCTGCATGGTCAGTTATATATGATGACTCGTTATGGCTGCAACCTTTCAATCTCTTAACTCGACGCCAGAACACTCCTGGATCGTTGTATGTATGTTAGAGTTGTTCAACTATTTCGGCCCATTTAAGGTTGCTTTGTTCCAGAGATCTTGTTTTTATTTCCTCCCGGATTCTTCTGTATGTATTGTAGCTTACGATGTCCCATCCATGGGTCTTGGCTCTGTTGTAGCAGTTGGAACTGGTTTGTGAGGGCGATGAGTTCTGGAGTCTGTTGTGGGTGTGGGAGAGGTCTGTTGCGTTTGAGAGGCATGGCCTCCTGGTAGGCTGTTCCTATGGCTTCACACCATGTGTTGATTTCTTCGTCTATTATGTTCACCTGCTGATTGTCTATGGTCTGCAGGATTGTCATGCCCTTGACCTCAAGTTCGGCTGGAGCTTTTTCGTTGAATAAGTCCCAGTTGGTCTGCTTGGCGATTCTCCGTGGTGGAGCTGGTATAGTTATTGGTGTTGCTGAGATGGTCATGATTATAGGTAGGTGGTCGCTGGAGGTTACAGGGCCTTGTTCAAAGAGATAGTTGTGTAAGCATCTGCCGTTTGTTATTGCTATATCTGGAGTAGTGGCTGAGTTCCTACTGTAGAACGTGGGAAAGTCTGGGCCTATTAGTTGGGCTTTTTTGTTTGTTATGAAGTCAGCGAGGCCTCTTCCACCATTGTTAGTTGTCCCCTTACCATCTAGTAGAGGATGTCTGGCGTTCATGTCTCCAATGATGTAGGTTGGGTGGTGGTATGATAGGAGTCTGTGGAAGTCC